GCAATCAGCAGAGGCTTTGGAATTTCTATACCGGCATCTGCTCTGCAGTAGGGTGGGGCGGGGACTTGCTTTGAAGCCACATTGTATATCAAGCATACTGGTTTTATGTGGTTTGGGCTTTGGCAGTGGCTGAGAGAGGTGTGGGAGAAGCCAGTGAGGCTGGAAAGGAGGGTATAAAGCCCATGAAAGTAATTTCTTAGGGATATCCACTGAGGTACACCCAGTTTTATCTGTCTCCAAGCCAGGGTTCTTTCCTATTCTGGATGGAAGGGGTTGTTCTGAGATAGCAGAAGGTAGTACAGAGTACACTGACTGGGAAAGAGGCAAGCCTTGACTCAGAGTGATCTCTGTAGCACCTGAGGGCCAGGGAGGGCACGATTCAGGAGCAAAGGTATGGTGGGCTGTTTTTAGAGTTTGCTGAAGGCATCAAGAGACCTCTCAGTTCTAGACATGGGCAATCTGTACTGGTGGCGGGGACCTGCCTACTTGGGCGGGGTCCAATTGCAACTCCTGCTTTTTCTCTCTCTCTCTCTCCATTTGGTTGGTAAATCTTCCTCCATCCCTTTGTTTTGAGTCTTTGTGTATCCTTGCATGTGAGATGGGTCTGGATGCAGCATACTGATGGGTTTTGGCTTTTTATCCAATTTGTCTGCCTGTGTCTTTTGATTGGGGCATTTAGTCAATTTACATTTAGGATTAATATTAATATATGTGAGTTTAATACTGCCATTTAATGCTAGCTGGCTGTTTTGCCCATTAGTTGATGTAGATTTTTCATTATGTTGATGCTCTTTACTGTTTGGTATATTTTTGGAATGGCTGATACTGGTTGTTCCTTTCTATGTGTAGTGCTTCTTTCAGAAGCTCTTGTAAAGCAGGCCTGGTGGTGACGAAATCTCTGAGTACTTGCTTGTTCACAAAAGATTTTATTTTTCCTTCACTTATGAAGCTTAATTTGGCTGGATATGAAATTCTGGGTTGAAAGTTCTTTTCTTTAAGGATGTTGAATACTGACCCCCACTCTCTTCTGGCTTGTAGGGTTTCTGCTGAGAGATCTGCTGTGAGTCTGATAGGCTTCCCTTTGTGGGTAACCTGACCTTTCTCTCTGGCTGCCCTTAGCATTTTCTCCTTCATTTCAACCCTGGGAATCTGATGATTATGTGCCTTGGGGTTGCTCTTCTTGAGGAATTTCTTTGTCGTGTTCTCTGTATTACCTGGAGTTGAATATTGTCCTGCCTTATTAGGTTGGGAAAGTTTTCCTGGATAATATCCTAAAGAATATTTTCCAGCTTGGATTCATTCTCTTCATCACATTCAGGTACACCTATCAAACTTAGATTAGGTCTTTTCACATAGTCCCATATTTTTTGGAGACTTTGCTGATTCCTTTTTACCCTTTTTTCTCTAATCTTGTCTTCTCTTTTTGTTTCATTGAGTTGGTCTTCGACCTCTGATATCCTTTCTTCTGCTTGGTCAGTTTGACTGTTAAAACTTGTGCATACTTTGCAAAGCTCTCATTTTGTATTTTTCAGCTCCATTAATTCACTTATATTCCTCTCTAAATTGTCTATTCTCATTAGCATTTCGTCAAACTAGGAACCTTTTTTTCAAGGTTCCTAGTTTCTTTGCATTGGGTTAGAACATGTTCTTTTAGCTCACAGAAGTTTCTTATTATCCACCTTCTGAAACCTGATTCTGTCAGTTAATCACACTCATTTCTCCATCAGGCCTTGTTCCCTTGCTGATGAGGAGCTGTGATCTCCTGAAGGAGAGGCATTCTGATTTTGGGTGTTTTCAGCCTTTTTGTGCTGGTTTCTTCCCATCTTTGTGGATTTATCCAACCATCGTCTTTGTAATTGCTGACTTTCAGATTGGGTCTCTGAGTGGACCTCCAGCTTGTTGGTGATGATGTTATTTCTGCTTCTTTGTTTTCCTTCTGCAGACGCCCCTCCCCCACAGAGCTGGACCTTCCTGGGTTCAGCTGTGCTTGCTGTGAAACTCTCAACTGTCAGCTTTTCCAATTGCTGTTTTTTTGTGGGGGTGGGACCAGCCGAGACTGATCACCTGGCTCCCTGCCTCGGAGCCCCATTTTTTTCTTTTCCTAATTGAATGGTCAATTCTTTCCCAGGTGCTCCAGTCGCCCGCTGAAAAGGCACCCACATCCACACAATTTCCCGTGCATCACTGTCTGAAGCAGTGGCACTGAGATTTGTGGCGCTTTTCTGCCCGGGAATCTCCGGGTCTGGCTCCCCGCTTCAGTCCTCCTTTCAATCAGCTGAATGGGGGACTCTGCCTTCCCGGAGCTCCAAATGCCAACCAAAAGGGCACCCAGTCCCGCATACTCTGCACTGAGAACCACCGCGTGGGGGCGCCAGCAAAACAGCCGCACCAGCCAAAAGAGTCACACTGGCAACCCGTGGTAATCCTCTGCCGGGAATCTCCTGGTCCGTGGGCAACAAAAATTCATCTGGAAGTCTGGCGTCCACTCACTCCCTGTGCCTTCACTGGGAGCTGCAATCCTGAGCTACTGCTAATCGGCCATCTTGGATCTCTATTATTATTATTTTTGAGACAGAATCTCACTCTGTCAAGAGGCTGGAACGCAGTGGCACGATCTCAGCTCACTGCAACCTTCGCCTCCTGGATTCAAGCGATTCTCCTGCCTCAGCCTCCCGAGTAGTGGGATTACAGGCATGCACCACCATGCCCAGCTAATTTTTGTATTTTTAGTACAGACTATATTTCATCATATTGGCCAGGATGGTCTCCATCTCTTGACCTCGTGAACTGCCTGCCTCAGCCTCCCTAAGTGCTGGGATTACAAGCATGAGCCACCATGCCCAGCCTCTGTTATCATTTTTCATATATTTTTCTAGAAAACCTAAGGACAATGGGGGATGGGGCAGTGTTTGGGGAAACTCAGAACCTGGCGCTGCAGTGCAATTCCTTTTGGGGACATGAGGCACAGCAAGAAATGCACGAAGCAGACAGGTCAGTTGTGTATATGGATGTGGGGGTGAGATAAGGAGGGCCCTGACTCTCTGGAGAAGCCTCTCCTCCTGGTCACTCAGGGCCTCCCAGCCCTCATGCCTGCATCCCACTCTCACTCCCCACCACCCAGGAACTCAGGTACCTCTGCACATCTCAGGCTACCCTGAACAGGCTCCTATGCAGTATCCCCCAGAGAAAGGGCTGAAAACAACAGAAACAGAAGCCACGACTGCAGCAGAGAAAGGGAGGACTCAGGGATGGACCATCTGGTGCTGAGGTTGGACCCCCTCAGGGGCCTGGAAGAGATTACTAGAGCCCTCCGACACCCCCAGACCAGGCAGAAGTGGCAGCACTTGGCAGAACCAGGAATAATAGCAGCCACCATGGAGTGCATTCCCAACAGTCCTCTGAGGATTTCCCTTTACAGATGGAGAAACTGGAGTTCAGGAAAATTAAGAAACTCACTTGAGTTTACACAGATAGTAAATGGCAGAGGTGGAATTCAAACCCAGGAACCTAACTCCAGAGCCAGCTGCACCCAATATGTTCATGCAGCCATCCAGGCCATTCATGTTAAGCCTACGGGCCAAAGACCAGATCCCCTAGAAACTGCAGGGCTTTCTCAGGTCCATGGAGTTCTTGCATGCACCAGACATTGTCTGCAGACATTATAGTACTATGGACCCACTTGGGTCCTGTGGTAAATTGAATGGTGACCCCTGCAAAGGATATCTTCACCTGGAATCTCAGAACGTGACTGTCTTTGGAATAGGGGTCTTTGCAAATGTAATGAAGGTAAAAAATCTCAAGATGAAGGCCAGGTGCAGTGGCTCACACCTGTAATCCCAGTGCTTTGGGAGACTGAGGTGGGTGGATCACCTGAGGTCAGGAGTTCAAGACCAGCCTGGCCAACATGGTGAAACTCTGTCTCTACTAAAAATACAAAGATTATCCAGGCATGGTGGTGGGCACCTGTCATCCCAGCTACTCGGGAGGCTGAGGCAGGAGAATCACTTGAACCTGGGGGTGGGAGGTGGAGGTTGTAGTGAGCTGAGATCGTACCACTGCACTCCAGTTTGAGCGAAAGAATGAGGCTGAGTGTCAAAAAAAAACAAAAATTACAAAAACTCAAGATGAGATCATCTTGGATTAGAATGTCCTTCCGAGAGACAGAAAGGACGAAGAGACATACAGAGACACAGCGGGGAAGGGCGTGTAAAAGTGGAGGCAGGCAGAGACCGGAGCGGTGCTGCTACAGGGCCGTCAGAAGCTGGAGGCTGCCGGGAAGGATTCAATTTTGGAGCCTTCGCAGGAAGCATGGCCTTGCCGACACCTTGTTTCCAGGCTTCTGACCTCCAAAACTGTGAGAAAATAAACTTCTGTTGTTTCAGACCACCCGGCTGGTGGTCATTTGTTAGCATAGCCCTGGGAAACCTAAGCAGGTGTCTACCATTCTTACTCTTCATAGGAAACAGGCATTTCAAGCTATTACCAAACTCACAGTCACTGTTTATCATTGTCTATTTTTCTCCATCGATGGATATGAAACATTACTATTATGAAAAATCATTATATTTGCAAACCTATTATCATCCAGATGGAGATACTGAGTTTGACAGAGGGCAGAGGAGAAGCAAGAGAGCTGGTCTGGAACCCAGCTGCCCTGACTCTTGAGTGTCATTTCTATTCTTCCAAAGCCCTATCAAGTCTGGGGCTGCTATGGTCCTCACCACCTACACACCGAAAGACAGAGTCATGCTCATCCATCAGGAGGTTCAGGGGCACTTCTCGCTTTCCTCAGTTTGGCAACACTAAGAGCCACCCTCTGATTGTTCCAGAAAAGCAAGAATTGCTAAAGGCCATTGTGTCAAGTTTGCCCAATTCGTGTTACTTGATATCTTATCCCTCCCCACCCTGCTCCCACTCCCCTCCCCCTGGTGCCCCTGATTGCAACACTCCTGGCTGGGGTGGGACAGGGTGGCCAGATAAAAGCAGAGCAGGACCTGGAAAGCTGGTCTGCGTCTGGAAAGCTGGAAAGCTGGTCATGGCGTGGTCCGTGGCAGGTGAGCTGTCAGTGAGAGTGGGCTGGATCTCCAGAGCTGTGGGAGGTGGGGAGGTGCATGTCCAGGGACCCCTTGCTACACTTTGCAAGGAAGCAGGAGGACTCAGGAGAACTTCAGAGGGTCATTTTATCCTTCTTCATACCTTCTGGCTTGCAGTCCCTTGATTACCTTTCCTGCGGGCTCCTCTTTCAGCCCAAGAGACGTGTTGCAAAGGAAGGCTTTTCTCAACAGGCTGAAGATGACTTGACTTTCTTCTTTCTGTCCTGAAAGCCCAGAGTTAATGAGGGCCCTGCACTGGGTCTTTGTGTCTTTCCCATGTTCTTAAGTCTCTCCGTTTGGCCTTATCCAAGAAGCACCCACTGCCAAGAGGCTCTTCCCCAATCCCACATTAGCTCCCTGCAAGAGGGCAGCCTGGGGCCAAGACCCTGGGCATCCTTGTAAATTTTCATGCAGGTTCTATTAGGTTGATGAGAAAGTCCAAGGTCACCGGACCAAAGAGATCTCTTTGAAGGAGTCCTGTCGAACCCTGGGTCTCCAGAGCTGTAGATGCCTGCCACAGAGGCGGCAAAAGACATCAGGAAGCCGTAAATGATGGGAGCAGAGGTGCAGGCCCTCTCCAGGAGATGGACTCTCCCCATCCACCCCTTCCAGATTGCTTCTTTCCAGCCCCAGAACAGGTTTTCTTCTTGTTCCAAAAGAGAAGCTAGCTCTCTGAATAACTCACAAGTCAGCGGTTTTTCCGCAATCTTCCTAATCCACACTGCCCTCCACTGAGGCTCTACAGAGAGGGTAGCCTTATCCCATGGAACTTTCCATCAGCTTCTAGGACCAACCCAGGCCAGGAAGGGACCCTCATGGTCTGGGCTACATGAGGGGATGGGCACAGTGCCCTCCTGGGTCCCTTCTGAAAGGAGAAAGCTTGATGTGTAGGAATCAGCCCTCCCTCACTACCTCCTGTGCTTCCATAAGCGGTGGGGCCTGGGAAGGTGACAATGGCGGCGTAACCTTGGCCTTCTCTCTTGTGTTGCTCCAGGTTTCATGGTCCTGCTGATGATCCCATGGGGTAAGTGACCTCTTTCTTGGGGCTAGCCCTTGACTCCCTCAGCCCCTTCCCTAGGCTCTGCCACATTTCTCAACATATCTTCCCCGCCAGACTCCCCAAGAGCTCCAGATTTCAGCGGGGACTCTCTTCCAAAGCTCAGACCCCTGAAAACATCCCTCCCAGGAAGGCTCTTGCCTCATTATCCACTAGCTGAGCTTCTGCACATCTCTGGAGCCAGCTTGCCCATCAGCCTCTCTCAGGGCTTTCCTTTCCTGGGGTCGCTGGCTCCCTCCTCTGTGCTCTGGGCTCTTGCAGCACCTGTGTGATTTACAGTACATTTTGCAGCACCTCTCATTATCAGCTTAGATGCCTCTCCACACCAGACTCCAAGCTGCTGGAGGTAAGGAACCTAAGTCTCATCTGGCTCAGCATCCCCAGCCCTCCGCTCTGTGACAACACACTTGCTTCTGCTCTGTGGCACTGATCAGATGTGGAGCTTGAGAGAGGCGGGAGGGAGCTCCCTGTGGTGTCAAAGGGAAAAGAGATCTCAGGGATCTTCAGCCACTCGGACTCCCGGTCCCCCTCTTGTCCCACCCCGTTCCCTGGGCATCAGTGGCCCGGGAATGCTGGCCTCTCAGACCTTGTCCTGTGACTGTGCCCCTCATGCTAGGCTGTGGCATTGGACATACATTTCCCTCTCAACATTTTTTTTTTTTTTGGAGACAGAGTCTCACTCTGTCACCCAGGCTGGAGTGCAGTGGTGCGATCTCGGCTCACTGCAACCTCCACCTCACAGGTTCAAGCAATTCTCCTGCCTCAGCCTCCCAAGTAGTAGGATTACAGGCGTGAGCCACCATGCCCAGCTAATTTTTGCATTTTTAGTAGAGATAGGGTTTCTCCGTGTTGGCCAGGATGGTCTCGATCTCCTGACCTCACAATCTGCCCACCTTGGCCTACCAAAATGCTGGGATTACAGGCGTGAACCACTGCACCAGGGTCCCCTCTCAGCTTTATAGGAAGGAACAGCGAGGGGCACAGAAACAGCAAACCTGGTGAAGAGGAGAGGTTAAAGATTTCTCAAAAAGCTTTAGTCCAGACTACTTCTGGGCTTTCTGCAGTATAGTAATAATAGTAGGACTTTGTGTGGACTAAAGATTAATATATGCGAAGCACCTAGAACAGAGCTTCCTCCATGCAGCGCTCCTCTGAGTGTTTGACATGTATTAACTTTTAGCCCACACGGGAGTCCTGTGACACACATTGTGGGAGGTCCAGTGGTCTCCCCATTTCACAGAGGAGGAAGCTGAGTCACACAGCGAGTCAGTTGCAAAGTTGGGATTTCAACCCAGACACTGGCATGCCAGAGTCCCTGCTGTTAACCGCTACACTTTATTTTCTCCATAGTACAGAAATTCATACGGTATTTGATATGCAACAGCATGACATGATGGAAAAAGAGCTTCCTGGCTTCCTCTTACATGGCCTGGGGGATGTGTTCTCCGGGTTCATCCCTTCTTCCCTCTCTTTTGCTTTGGAGAGTTCACCAATTCTCCTGTATCACTGGAGGATACACCCCAGCCCCACCAGCAGGCTGCACTCCTGGGGGACCTCTGGTTAGAGACAGTGAGCACTCCGGAGCCATGTGTATGCCCAGGGTCAGCCCTTCATGCTCTTGGGTTCTAGTTGAGGCCTGCCTGAGCACTCTCTTCCAGAAACTCTCCCATAGACACTTTGCACCCCTCCTCTTCCTCACCCCCTCCCTGTCCATGTGGGCATTAGAGGCGGTACAGAGAAACCCTGCTGGGGCAAAAGGAAGTCTCAGGCTCCAGACACCAGCCACAGACATGCTCCAGTCCAAACTCACTGCTCCATCAAGATCTTGGCATGAAATGTTGGCTCGTACGAGCCACATCATCATAGATGGAGAGACTGGAAGAGACCCCAGAGACCACGCAGTCATTATCAGGTGGGGCCGGGACTGAAGATGAGGTCGACCCAAAATCTATTTTTGGCAGATGCTGGAATGAAGACTAGCATTCTTGCTTCCTGGTATCCTGGTCAACCCAGCACAGGGCTGACCTCAGTGGGGGTGTCACCACCAGGCCCTTGTGGGAGCAGGCTGTCCCACCTCCTGCAAAGTCTTTTCACACACTGTAGGATACTCTAGAGACAATACCCTAGAGTGTGTGGGGTACTTAGAGACAAAATGCCTTCTCCTAGATCAAAACAGCTCTTTAGGCTGGGCACAGTGGCTCACGCCTGTAATCCTAGCACTTTGGGAGGCCGAGGTGAACAGATCACCTGAGGTTGGGAGTTCAAGACCAGCCTGACCAACATGATGAAACCCCATCTTAAAAAAAAAAAAAAAAGTAGCTCTTTATTAGAATCTCACTAGTGATATTGATAAACACAGATTATCTACAGGGGATAACAAGCAAATGCAAATGGATTTAATGCAAGACTAAAGAAACATCAAACCTGGGCCTGTAACTGGGGCCTCCTCTCTGCTACTTACCTGTTTACACGGGTTTTTTTTTGTTTTTTTTTTTTTTTTTTTGAGGAGGCGTTTCACTCTTGTTACCCAGATTGGAGTGCAATGGCGCGATCTCGGCTCACCACAACCTCCGCCTCCTGGGTTCAGGCAATTCTCCTGCCTCAGCCTCCCGAGTAGCTGGGATTACAGGCACGCGCCACCATGCCCAGCTAATTTTTGTATTTTTAGTAGAGACGGGGTTTCACCATGTTGACCAGGATGGTCTCGATCTCTTGACCTCTTGATCGACCCGCCTCGGCCTCCCAAAGTGCTGGGATTACAGGCTTGAGCCACCGCGCCCGGCACCTGTTTGCATGTTAATGAAGTATCCTGAGGTATTCCAAACCGTTCTGAAAGTTCTGCCTGCCTTCCCTCTGCAGATGAGCATGCCGTGTGTAATTCCCTCTGGGCCTCATGCTGGGGCTGCCTGGGGCTACCTTCTTTCAGGTTTCGGGGCCTGGAGGGGAGAGCCTAACTGTGGGCAAGGAGACCTGCCTGCCAGACCCCGGTCCTGGGAACTCGGACTCTGAGACTAGCCACTTAGAAGGATGTCAAGGAGTCAAGAGACTTGAGTCTTAGCATCGCTGCTCTGCCCTCTTAGCAGCCGTGCTGATGAGGATGGATCCCAAGCTCATAAGCCTCGGCTTGCTTCCTGGGAAAGCAGGGCTTGGAGGATGATGGTCCTGCCCACTCCGTGTTCTGAGGATCCCAGGACTGGCCTCTGAAAATGCTTTCCCAACTACAAGGCTCCACCCATGTAAAGCAAATGCCATTACTGCCTGTCGGGTCTCTCCACTGACTCCAGGTGTAGAAGAGGGATGTCCAAAAGCATTGCCTGCCCCAGATGGAGGGTGACCAGTCCCCAGAAGGCCCTGCTGACAGTTATCTCTTTTCTTTACTCCAATGGGCCAGGCTCTGCTGCGAAACTGGTCTGCTACTTCACCAACTGGGCCCAGTACAGACAGGGGGCGGCTCGCTTCCTGCCCAAGGACGTGGACCCCGGCCTGTGCACCCATCTCATCTACGCCTTCGCCGGCATGACCAGTCACCAGCTGAGCACCATTGAGTGGAATGACGAGACTCTCTACCAGGAGTTCAACAGCCTGAAGAAGATGTGAGCCAAAGCGGAGGAGTGGGGGTGGGGGAGACAGATAACCTCCTCCCAGAGTCAGATACCTTCCCCAGCGCTGAGGCCCTGACACAGACCCACTGTGTGGCTTTGGGCAAGCCGTATCACCTCTCTGGCCTCTCCTGTGCTTAATGAAAGAGGTAGGGTTGCTTAGGGGACCCTAAGGGCCCTTCCAGTTTCGGTCTAAGTGGGATCGGGATTGTGAGACTCTTTCTCGGGTGAAGTCCCTTCCTCATTGTGAAATGGATCCATCCTTCAGCTCCAGGGTTCTGGGTGCTTCACAAAGCCTCTTGAGGATCTGCCCCTATCCTTGCTTCCTGAGCCCACACAGCGGTGTCTCCCCAGTTAGACAGGCAGTTCTCCAAGTCAGGAGTATGCCTTTCCTTTCCCAAACCACAGCTGTCCCCAGAGAGCTCAGTACAGGCTCTGCACATAGGCGCTTTTACACATCCCCATCCTGGGTGCCCCTCCCCACTACAACATCCCTGCTAGGGAGCCCTGGGAGCTGGCGGGGTAAATCCTGATGTGTCTCTCTTCTTTCCCAGGAATCCCAACCTGAAGACCCTGTTGGCCATCGGAGGCTGGAATTTTGGCACTCAGAAGTTAGTTGACAGTGGTCACCTGTGTGGTAGAGCTCCTCGAAGGGAACCTGGTACACTGGCCAGAGGGAGCCCTGGTCAGGGAATCGGGCCAGGCTGAGGTGTGGCCAGGGGAAGGGGAAGGGCAGCTGAACTCAGGGGCGCTGAATATCCTCCTGGGTTCTTGGCACCCAGCAGGAGGGCGGCACAGTGAGCTGCACTCCAGACTATTTCAGATCCAGTCTTCCCAGAAGCGCAGGTCTAAACACAGCAGAAGGCTCAGACCTCTCCAGGCCCTAGGCTCTTCTTCCATGAAATGAGAAGAGGGAGGGTCCCAACTAATCTTGACAGCATGCAGTGTCTATGTTTTCTGAGCTCAAAAATGGGGTATCTTGTCCCAGAAAGAATGTTTATTCCACTTCTGAGTATAAAAGGTAATCTGTGAGATTGAGCCCAGATGCCAAAATATTGGCATTTGGGGAACATTTTTTAATGATTTATGGAGACAATGGAATGGAGTATTTGAAACTTGCGGTTTTCTAGAAAATCCAGAATATATGGCTCCCAAGGCTCTGAATGGTCTTTCTAAAACTTTTTTGGATCATGAATCCTTTTGGGAATCTGATGAAAGTTATGACTCATCTTCCAAAAGCAATGCTAATATACAGATTGTTTATTGAAATGCAGGCGTTTTTAGCCTGGTATCCCTGTACTAAATTAATAAAAATAAAATAGGATCAATCTGTAAAAAACTTGAGATCCCCAAGAAGTCCAGGGACTTCCCACTAAGGAAGGAAGATGTGGAGAAGTGGTTCTTGGGGAAGCTTGGGAATTTTGACGAGTAATAGTAATAAAAGCACAAAGCACTCTACACGTGTGAGTTACAGGAAAGATGACCAGGTCAGCCTGCCAGGAAACTAAAACCGTGGCTCCCCGGGTCTTCACTAACCTTAGTAAAGGAATTAGAGGAAATTCTAATTAGAGAAAAATCCTAATTAGAGAAAAACCTTACAAGAGAAATTAGAGAAACCAGTTCCTCCTTTTTAAACCTCCTTTCCAAGGATGTCAACCAGCCCTGATTCAGGGTGGAACAATTCAGGGGCTTGGAGGAAGCCTCTGGAGGGAATTTTGGAAAGCAAGGCTCCTAGGGTGTCAATATGCCCCTGGTGGCGTTCGGGGGTAGAAGTGCTCTGGATGGTCCCCTTTCCTGAACCAGGACCATAAGTCACCAGAGCAAATATCCCTGCAGCCTCTGAAGCAGACCTCCCAGTGCCCCTCCCGACCCAGACACAGACGCACTGTCCTGAGTGCTTTCTCGCCTGCTTCTGAGTGAGAGTGGCCTCCTGTCTGGTCCAAGGCCGGCCCTTACTCCCTTTCATCACCTCACAGGTTCACAGATATGGTAGCTACGGCCAACAACCGTCAGACCTTTGTCAACTCAGCCATCAGGTTTCTGCGCAAATACGGCTTTGATGGCCTTGACCTTGACTGGGAGTACCCAGGGAGCCGGGGGAGCCCTGCCGTAGACAAGGAGCGCTTCACAGCCCTGGTGCAGGTATGGCTGGGTGGGGCGGGGGCCACCCAGTCTGCACAGGGACCCAGAGCTGGGGCCCCACAGCACAGGTAGGGGCTGCTCTGCCCCCAGAGCCGGTGGCTTCGTGTACCTGCTCGGCACAGATCAGCCCTGAGGTCAGGTCTCAGACTCCTGTCAATGAACATCTGCCTGGGGCTCACAGGAGCTGCCCCGCTGCTGCTGTGTTGACTCTGAGCTGCACCCCCACAGGACTTGGCCAACGCCTTCCAGAAGGAAGCTCAGACCTCAGGGAAGGCACGTCTCCTTCTGAGTGCGGCGGTTCCAGCTGGACGAACCTATGTGGATGCTGGATACGAGGTGGACAAAATTGCCCAGTGAGTCTCAGGCAGACGACATCCAGCCATGCTCTCTGAGGGAGGAGAGGCCAAGGGCGGACTGAGCCTTCCCAGGGGTAGAGCAGGTGTTCACCTACACGGTGTTGGGAAGGTCCCATCCTTCCACCAGCACACCTAGGAAGGTTTTGCTCAGTGTCTGCTGCTGTCCTGTTCCAGATCCTTCATTTTGGACCTCTGTCCTCTTCCCTGGCAACTCATTCTTAAAGTGAAAATGCCTCTGAGCAGGTAGTGAAGGCATTGTCTCCAAGAGTGTGGGTTTTCTGGATCCTTGCTCCTCAAAGTACAGCACGACCACCATGATGCCCAGGGGCTCGTTAGGATTATGTACTCTCAGTTCCCACCCTAGGCCTTCTGAAGAAGAACCTTCATTTAGATTTCCAGGCGATCTGTGTGCATACTGAAGTGAGAAAAACTCTGACCTAGAGTTTCCTCCAAAATAGCAATATAGCAGGAAGTTTTCTGAGTGGAATAGGGAGGGTCTGGGGGTGCTGAGGGCACAGTGGGCTGAGGATGACAAGTTTGAATGAGAATGAGAATGAAAATGGCCTCCATAAGGGGGCTGGCTGGGACTGCTGGCTGGGTCATCTTCTGCAGAGCCTGGTGAGCTGCCACCTTTGCCTCTGACCCCAGCGGTTCCTCCCTGGCCCATACACTGTGGGCGGCAGAGTGAGAAAGAAGGGCTTCTCCTGCCCCCGGTTCCTTGTTCCTCACCTCTTCTTCCATGCCTCCTGCAGGACCCTGGACTTTGTCAACCTGATGGCCTATGACTTCCATGGCTCTTGGGAGAAGGTCACGGGACACAACAGCCCCCTCTACAAGAGGCAAGGGGAGAGTGGTGCAGCGGCCAGCCTCAACGTGGTATGTGGCCGGAGGGCTGAGGCAGGACTCCCTGTCCAGCAGGCCCTGTCCAGTGGCCTCTTTTGAGCCCTGAGGCCCTCATGGAAAAAAGACACAGGGCACTGAGAACCCGGCCCCATTTTTGTTTCTTTGCTTGCTCGTTTCGTTCTGTTTTCCTGGTCCATGCCCCTGCTGAGGGGAAACCTCACTTCTGCGGAGCATCTTGGCTGATGGTGGACACAGCAAATCAACTGGGTGACAAACACGTGATCTCGGGGAAGCCCACTTTGAGCCTGAGTCTCTAGCCAGCAGGGCTGCTGCTTCCCTCACCACCACCCCGCCCCATTTCCTTCAAGACAGTGGGCAGACTTGTGCTCCATGTCACACTGGTTGACTGGAAGGTGCTGTCAGGGGTGGGAGCTTTCCCAAGTTGATAACCTCTCTGGGGATGTCACTCAAGGGCAGAAGTACCCCCAGCAGCTGCAAAGGGCAGGCTTGGTTTTTAGACTAGGTAGGCTGGGAATTTCCTAACTTTTCCTCATTGAGCAATCAAGACACTTTTAATTTTAAATTTTTATTTATTTATTCTTAAGAGACAGAATCTTACTCTGTCACCAAGGAGGGTGTGCAGTGCCATGATCACAGCTCACTGCAGTTTCATCCTCCTGGCCTTAAGCAATCCTCCTGCCCCAGCCCCCTGAGTAGCTGGGATCACTATGACCAGCTATTTTTTTGTTTAAAGTTTGTTAGAGATGGAGTCTTGCTATATTGCCCAGGATGGTCTTGAACTTCTGCCCTCAAGCAGTCCTCCTGCCTCAGCCTCCCAAAGTGTTGCGATTACAGGCAAGAGCCAACGTTCCCAACCTAGATCCTTTTTATAAGTCCTCTCTATATTTTAAAACAGAGAGTGGGTTTATAAAACCCTACAGAGAGGCCTTATGATAACCATATTATTTTTCTGTCTTAAAACAAGCAAAACCAAACAACAAACAGAAAGCCCGAAATCAAAATGCTTTTTACTTTTGGAGAGCCCACATCTCTGTGTGTCAGCTGGAGTGGGGGACATCTTTGACTTTCTGACTCTTTCATGAATAAAGAACACTTCTTTGCACCCATGAGCCAGGCACCCACATTTCACAATGAGCCTGGCCTCTCTATCCCGTCTGGAAGACTGTGTGAGTTTTGGAGGAAGCTGTATTGTTGTGCCAGTGGGGAGACACAGAAAGAAAGACATTCAGCCGAGAGGCGAGCGGGCTTGAAGTCCCCCCAGCACTCTGCCCTCCACACCGTGTACCTTGAAGCCGCTGAGGAATAGAGGCCTCCTTGTTCCTACAAAGAGGCCTTCTACTCACCACACGGTGTGCCTGGGGATGGCTCGTAGCCAGAGGGGTGACTTTTCCCAATTGCACAAAAGAGCTATACAAATCAGGAGAAGCCCCGACTTCTGCCTTCAGAAAGCGCCAGTCTGATCAAAGATAAGTTGTATGGATGGACAAAAAGAAATACATTTAAACAAATGTAGTGAAAACTGTTCCTTTCCTAAGGGCTGAGTGGGCTCAGAGTCACTAGACCTGACAAAACTAGGGCAGCTTCTTGGGGAAACTGAACCATACTCTTGGCTTGAGGAATGAGCCTTCATTATTCATTAATTCATCATACTTACATGAGGTACCTTCTCCCATCACAGGCCTGGGGGTGTTAAGTCAAGTAATACATAATCGGGGGAAAGTCTTATCCAGAGGCGGGTAAGGAAGCCTTTGTTTTATCTGAGCATCAGGTGTCATTGTAGGCACTGGGGATACAGAGATAAATAAAGCAAACCTAATTCCCTCCTTTTGTACTCAGGGAAAAACCAAGACAACAACCAGGATAATGATGAAGACCACAGCGACCCTTCACTGTGTTGTGCTGACCTTTTACACGCATTATAACCTTTAATTCTCACAATGCCCTAAGAGATGGATATTTTCCTTATTTCCTGTTGCAGACAGGACACCAAGGGTCAATGAGGTTAAATAAGCTGCTGGATAGGGCAGGGATCTGTGTCTGCCTTGTTCACTGATGCATCTAAAGCACCATGGACAGCGCCTGGCACACAGTGGGCCATGGTACCTATTTGTTCAGTGAAAGGTTGTCTGCGTCCGAAGCCCATGCTGTCTGGTCATCATGCCATGCAGCTTCTTCTCTGGGGTCACGGGTCTAAGGCAGGTTCTAAAGAAGGTGGGGTAGGGCTGGAATATTAATGAAGGCCCTTGGAGCTCCTGCTGAGGAGCCTCTGCCCGTCTAGCTCTGTCTCTGGATCCCCCAGTCTTAGACAATCAGAGCCAGGCTGAGGGCAGAGAAAATTAACCCTGCCCTCCTCTGCCACCAGGATGCTGCTGTGCAACTGTGGCTGCAGAAGGGGACCCCTGCCAGCAAGCTGATCCTTGGCATGCCTACCTACGGACGCTCCTTCACCTTGGCCTCCTCATCAGACACCAGAGTGGGGGCCCCAGCCACAGGGTCTGGTACCCCTGGCCCACTCACCAAGGAAGGAGGGATGCTGGCCTACTATGAGGTAGGAAAACCCATAACAACCCTGGGTATCGCAGGGGTCAGGGGATGCCTGAGAGCAGAAGGCTCCTTCTCCCACCATTTCTGAGTAAAGACGCCAGATGCAGAGAATTCTGGTCAGGTATATTCCACCCCATCAATGCCGTCTTGAATTTATCTGTAAGCCCAGGTGCCTCAAGCTGGGTCCAGCATTCTAGGTCACTGAAACCGAGAACCTCCTGATTCTCCAGCCTTCCTCAGACGGGAATTTTCCAAACTCTAGTCTCCTGGTGAGGAGGGGAAGGTGCCTGCCAGAGCCTCCCTCCTCCTTCCCAATGCTGCCTTCTGCTTCCACAGGTCTGCTCCTGGAAGGGGGCCACCAAGCAGAGAATCCAGGACCAGAAGGTGCCCTACATCTTCCGGGACAACCAGTGGGTGGGCTTTGATGATGCGGAGAGCTTCAAAGCCAAGGTGAGGCCCAGCTCTGCTGGCAGGGGCGTGGTCCTGGGTGAACGAGGCCTGTCAATGACATGAAATGAGGGCAGTTCAGGACCTTAAGGGCAAGTCTCCTTTAAACGTCCCAACATTTCATAATCTCCACGTGATAGCATTTTGTGCCTTTACTACCTATGGACTCAGAAAAGACAAAATGACAAAAAAAAATCGCTCTATATTTAGTAGCACTCTGGAAAGGCGCATACATCCGACACTATTCCTCCTGGCTACACCCACCCCACCCCAGGTCATGCTTATGTTAAGACAGGCTGCAAAATGACCGATGCCCAAGCAGCATGAGGCCTCAGCTGCCCAGGATCCCAGCCTGGGGCTGTCTCCAGAAACTCCAGCCACTGATGAGCCTGAGGCTGCTGGAGAAAAAGGGGCCCTGTCCAGAGAGGTCGCCAGGCTCTGGGGCTGGGCGGGCTGGGCTTCCCTGGGCTCCTCCACTGCATCCCCTCCCTGCACAGGTCAGCTATCTGAAGCAGAAAGGACTGGGCGGGGCCATGGTCTGGGCACTGGACTTAGATGACTTTGCCGGCTTCTCCTGCAACCAGGGCCAATACCCCCTCATCCAGACGCTGAGGCGGGAACTGAGTAAGTAAGGGGCCTGGGGCCAGTGGCAGAATTTGGAGGTGGGGTGCGAACACAGCTCTGTGCCTCCGATGAACTGTAGGTCCTGGGTCCTTCTGAGGAAATGACTTTGCTCCACTACTGTAATTTCCCAAGTTTCGTGCACCCCGGAGCTTAAGGAAACTGTTGAAACAATTTTCCTTTTTGCGCTCTTCTTTCTCTTCCTGGTTGCAGCAATGCCCACCCAAGGTGTTGTAACCTTGGCTTCCTCCAGAGGTCCCCCAACCTGGGAGCAGCCCCTTGCTCCTCTCTTATCTGAGAGAAAGCCTCCCCTTAGCCTGCAGCATGGCACCCCCTCCTCGCCTCACCAGTGAATGGGGTTGTGCTTGCAGATGGGATAAAGCTTTAACTGCCTGTCACGTGTGTACCAGGTGTTGTCTGTGGCACTGTGCTCCAGCTGTTGGTATGGCAATTGTCTGGCTGTTCTCTGCCTGGGTACCTGGCATGCGGTGCTGGGCTGCTGTCTGCCGCTGGTTGCTGCCTGTGTGCTCTGCCTGTGGGTTTGGGATCTCTTGGGGGAAGCCTTGGTTGAATCTTCTCTGTCTTCCCAGGTCTTCCACACGTGCCTTCAGGCACCCCAGAGCGTGAAGTTCCAACACCAGGTCAGCCCTCTGAACCTGAGCATGGCCCCAGCCCTGGACAAGACTCCTTCTGCCAGGGCAAAGCTGATGGGCTTTACCCCAGTCCTCAGGAACGGTCCAGCTTCTACAGCTGTGCAGGGGGGCGGCTGTTCCAGCAGAGCTGCCCAACAGGCCTGGTGTTCAGCTCCTCCTGCAAATGCTGCACCTGGAATTGAGTCCCTAAGGGCCCTCCAGCCCCAGGTCTGGAGCTGGGCCTGGGCTCACTCCTCAGCCTTCCTCCCGGGTTTTCCCTGAGGGCTGCGATCGGGCTCCTGCGGGCCTCTCTGTGGTCTTCCTTTATGCAGCCTTTCTGCTCTCAGCCTTGCCTTCTTTTTTTTTTCTGGGTCTCCTGGGATGCCTCTTTCACTTGCAAAATAAATCTTTGGTTTGTACCCGTCTCCCCGAAGATGTGGTGACTTAAGAGGCTCTCTAAGCACACTGTCGACTTAACACGCACAAGTCAGAGCCAGGTGGGAAGGTGATCCGTGCAGGATGTGCCAGGCCCTGTGGGCAGTTCTTGCCTCATGAGCCCATGTGCCAGTGGGCAGTTTCCAGTACACAGGTGATGGCAGCCGGAGCAGGGTTCCAGGTGCAACACGTTCTTAGGTTATTGGCTCAGAAGCCTTTGGAAACAGGGGAGCTTCTGCGGACCTCCAATCAGGTATTATTCCCAGAACGCCACTAGATGGCAGCAGAGAAGAACTTTTCCCTGACGAGTGATCTGCAAACAGTCCCTCAGCATTGCAGTGAGAATTCAGATCCCCTGGTACTCAGTGGTCTTCGAGATAAATCCTATTTGGGCCCTTTCTTTCTAAAATAGAGATCTAAGCCTGTCGCTTTCCTTGCTTAAAAACTACCAACAGCTTCCCCCTGCCCAAAGGATAAAGTCCCTACCCATCAGCACAGTGTTGAGACCCTTTATCGGGCCCTAGTGTCTTTTCTGGTCACATCTCCTGCCGTCCCCACCCCCGTTCAGTTGTTGGGCACCCCTGATGTCAGCATTAACCTCAACCATCATGCCAGCTCCTCATGTGGGACCCCCACCGCCCTCCGTCACCCGGATAGCTCAGGCCCATGCCATTTTCGGAATGAATCCTGCCCAAGGCAGGAACAATGAGAGCTCCCTAAAAGCCGTTTGTGTTCAGATTGTCTCTTTTTTGCTGTTTTTGGTTTTTTGATTCTTTGTTTGTTTGTTTTGAGACAGAGTCTTGCTCTGTTACGCAGGCTGGAGTGTAGCGGCACGATCTGAGCTGACCGCAACCTCCACCTCCCAGGTTCAAGCAACTCTCCCACCTCAGCCTCCCGAGTAGCTGGGACTACAGGTGCATGCCACCACACTCAGCTAATTTTTGTATTTTAAGTAGAGACGGGGTTATTTGTTTGTTTGTTTGTTTGTTTGTTTGTTTGTTTGTTTGAGACAGGGTCTCTCTCTGTCACCCAGGCTGGAGTACACAGGCACAATCACAGCTCACTGCAGCCTTGACCTCCTGGGCTCAGGTGATCCTCCCACCTCAACCTCCCAAGTATCTGGGACTACAGGCACGCACGCCATTTTGTATTTTTTTGCAGAGACAGAGTTTTTTCATGTTACCCAGGCTGGTCTCTAACTCCTGGGCTCAAGTGATCCTCCTGCCTTGACCTCCCAAAGTGCTGGGATTAGAGGTGTGAGCCACTGTGCCCAGCCAGATTGTCTCTTTTGACTCCACATCAGCCTTGAAGCCCCGTGTGTCTGGAATCTTCCTGCTGCTGCTGAGTTTCTCAGCACACACCAAGCATCCACACCAGGCCTGGTGTCCAGCTGAACACAACAGGGACAAGAACCGGGGCTCTACTTTCCTGAGGCTGACATCCTGTTGAGGGAGGCAGACGATGAGCAAATGTGCACATAAGACCATTCCAGGCAATCACGAATGCTGGAAAGGAAACGCGATATGGCTAGAGAGTGAAGGATGGGGGTGAGGGGACTCCTGTGCACCTGTGGTCAGAGAAGGCTCAGTGGAGGCCACATTTGAGCTGAGATGCAAAGTCTAAGGAAGATTTGCCCACAGACTTTTGAGATACACAGTCCTCAGGAATGAACCTGGGAGCAATTCTTCCCAGGCTGCCTTTGTTAACCCAGCTTATAGGACAGGGTCCTGCCTTGGTCCCCTCTACTAAATGTTCCCAAGTGGCCCTGCCTCAGCCCCATTTCTCCCCTGGCACAGGTGCCTTGTGTAGGCCCTTAGTCTGGTGGCTGTGATCATGGCCCCATGGACAGGTCCTCCAGAACAATGACTGCTCCCCATCCCTTATGTTAACTGTCACCTCTATCCCCACCTGCCTGGTAGCCTTTTAGGTAATACTGACTGAGGCAGGACTCCCAGCCACTGCCCCAGCCTGTGGACTGTACCTTCAGAGTCAACCTTTGGTGACTGCCCCAGCCTCTGTCATGCCCTGATGCCCAGTGTGTGGTCCACTGCAACACTCTCCCTCTCCTCTGCTCCAGGATGCTGCCAGGAAACCACCCTTGGTGTCCCATATCCAGTCTGGTGACATATGTCCCAGGGGACCATCAGGAGTCTCCAAACGGGCCATGCCTTCCTCGAGTGCATCTCCACCAGTGCTTTTTGTCTGCCTGTGACATCCCTCCTTTCCCCACCAGTCACCCTGAGACAGTCAGCTCCTGGGTTACTCCTGTGGGACGGGTGCCCTGGACATCAGTGACTGTCTCCGGGCCACCCTAGACCACTGGGCCACCCTAGACCACTGGGCCACCTCACTGACATATGTTGCTGTCATGATCTGTGTGGATGTTAGACTCCTCCCCTATTTTCCAAGCTCCTAAGGGCAAGCACGATGTCTTAAGTGGTCCTCAACCATGACACATATTTAAGGTCCAGTAAATGTTGGACCATACAATTTCTGTTTTTTTTTTCTTCTTTTACCCTCGGGTGCAGAAATCACTTAGAGGATTTCCAGCACTACTCTCCCAAGACCTTCTATTTAATACCACTGACTCTTTTAATGTTAGTGTCCAGCCATTAGTCCCGTCCTTCAAAGGGACAGGGGAATTAACATTTGTTGCATGACTAGAGACCATACTAAGCATGTTTTAGACATTCAATAAATAGTTACTGAATGTATAGCAAGTAAATTAACCTGTCACTTAATCCTCACGGTACCCCTGCAAAGGAGTATTATTATCTGTTCCCCTTGGGTTACACAGACAGCATATGGCAAAGCTGCAATTTATTTATTTATTTATTTATTTATTTACAGACAAAGTCTCACTGTGTTGCCCATGCTGGAGTGCAGTGGTGCAATCTCAGCTCACTACAGCCTCTGTCTCCTGGGTTCAAGCAATTCTCATCCCTCAGCCTCCCGAGTAGCTGGGATTACAGGCACGTGCCACCACACCCAGCCAATTATTTTTGTATTTTTAGTAGAGACAGGATTTCACCATCTTGGTCAGGCTGGTCTCAAACTCCTGACCTCAAGTGATCTGCCCGCCTCGGCATCCCAAAGTGCTGGGATTACAGGTATGAGCCACCACGTCTGGCCTAAAACCAATTTAGATGCCAGTCTAGATGAGACCCAGAGCCTAAGTTTGCTTTCTAGAACACTGCTGGCTTTTCCTCCCCCAAGTTAAAATCATATTTGTTTATTTTATCTCCTCGCCCTGCCATTGGTGTTTAGACCTCAGTGGTCATGAGTGTTGGACATACACTCGGTGTCCAGCCATACGCTAATGTGCAGGTCCATTCATCTCTGCTGTCAATCCCACAAGATCACAGGTGCAGAAACCACGGTGTCCACGTCAAGCAAGCAGTGGAGTCAGGGCTTGACCCAGGCCAGCCCATGTCTTTGGTTTCTCTACCTGCTGCACCCTCCCTCACGCCTCAGCTCTTTTCCTCTATATCTGATTTTATGGTTTACCTAAGTGTGAAAGCTTAATAATGCTTAAAACGATAAGCATTGCCTGATCACTTGCCATGTGGCAGGAGCTGTGCTAGGGCCTAAGGGAAATGCAGAAATGAAGCCTGCTCTCATGGTGTTTCCAGTTGGTGGGACTGTTGGTGGGGGTCTCCAGGACTGGCTTAGCACCAAGTGTCGAAAGATCAAGCCAGGGAGAAGGGAAGGCTACTTTATCACCGATGCTGTTTGGAGCTGCAGGCTCATAGGGATTATAAAAAACAGGCCAAGCCTGGCTTTATTCTTGTTTTTATAAATTCTGTGCATATAAGCCATCCTTACTGCCTCCACCTGGGGTAAACGTCGCTCTCATTGCCCAAGACAATCTGATATACGAAGTTTGAGCACCTCCCCCAAAGGAAATATCACTTTTTATAACAAGACTTTCTCTCTGTGCCCACCAGACTGCCCTGTCACCCGCACACACTTTAATTGATAAACTAGGTCATGCAAGCTTGCATGGCCTTTGAAGACAGGCGCCAACGCTGCTTCAGCTGGAGTGTGTTTGACATTAGGTAGTACGGTCTGAAAGGAACTTGGGGCGATTTACTTTTCGGTAGCTTAACCCACTCATGTCTGGCCACCCTCCCTGACAGTGATGACCACTCTTAGCCCATAAAGAAGAGGGCTCTGTATTCTTCTCTCTGATAGAATTCATTGTTGCATCTGATACACCTGCTGGAACCCCAGGCAGATTGGACTCTCCCCTTGGCTGGTCAGATGGGGGACCAAACTGTCCATCACACCCTACCTGGAGCAGGGAGAGCTGAAACTCTTTATCATTTTAATTTTGGTCTCCGTTGTAAAATATATCACATTATAGCAAAGAGTGCTCAAAATCTGTATGTTGGAATTCTTATGAATTATGAGTCCGTCACCCACATAAGGAGACAACGTTATCAGCAGCTGATTGACAGTGACTGATGTGCCCCTCCCCAATCCCATAGCCCTCTAACTAGATTTTGGTTATTCCTTTCTTTGTTTTTCTTGTAGTTTTACCTGCTAGGTGTGCATTTTTAAATAAAATTGTTTAGTTTGTCCAGGTTTTGAAACTCACATAAATGGAATTATATTGTGTGATGTTTTCTGTGGCCCAATGCTTCACGTGGCCGTAACTCATTTTCACTACTGTATAGTATTCCATCATATGAGTATGCCATAACTTATATATTTCACTGTCAACAGGCATTTGGGTTGTTTCTACATTGTGGTCAACGTGGACAATATTGCTATCAACACCCTTGAGCACGTCTCCCAGTGCGTATGTGTAGAATTTGCCTAGGAGTAGAATTAATGGGATGTGAATTATGTGCTTGTTCCATCTTACCAGGTACAGGCAATGTGTTTTCCCAAAGCGATAGTGTAAGTTTCCCTCCTGTCAGCAGAATTCTCTTGTATCCCGTCTTCCTCATTACCATATCATGCTTTATACCAATCTGAGAGGTGTGAAAT